TAATAAGAATGCTGTTTGAAGGCTTCAATATAAAGTTTCTTCAGGCAATGAACAACTCTTTTTAATGATGAATTCTGCTACAGACAAGAATAAAAATGGGTATTTGTATGCATGTATGCTGGTAAGTTTCTACATTTATGTGATATCTGTTCTGTTTTTCTTGTTTACCTGATTTTGCAACTGTTAGTCACTTACTCATGAAAGTAGCTCTTTTATTGACTAACTTCTAGGATAGGAGGGGAGGATCTTTTTCCAGTCACATGTAGTGAAGACTTTTGCCTGAGAAATACTCTTGCTATGGGAGGGGATGGAAGAAGTCATCTTGAAACTGTAAATCTTCCTTTATTGCAGGACCTCAAATTTAGAAGTTACACCTGAAACTTCCTAATCAACCTGTTTACCTGCTTCCAAGGAACCTCAATAAGGTAAACATGACTGAGCTATCTAAGTCCTCTGATCTTTCAGTTTTAGCAAAAGATGTAAGATATTGGTGTGGTGTATTTAAAATAATAATGAAGTTGTCAGGTGCAACAATGAACAATTCTTAGCTATACTGAGAAGTATTGCACATGGTACAACTGGTCAAAATTATTTGAAATTGGATTTCTTGACAAAATTTCTCATTCAAAATTTAAACTCTGACAAATTCCACATTGTTTTGCATTTTCAACCAACAATGGAGATGGTGGAAATGCATTTGATTTTAGAAATTTTCACTGAATTTTAAAAAAGGTAAAGATTTTTAAAAATTATTTTTTTTCCTTTTTATCCAAGCTTCTGTATTCATGGAAACAGTTATAAAAATGATGAAAAGCTGCCTCTCCCCATGATACCACTGCCGCCCTGGTCTGTACTTACTGAAACTCTCCCAAGCAAACAAAGTGCAGATAAAGAGAACTAGTTAAATTTTGCTTTGGTGCAATTATAACTATCTCGTTTACTGGGTGAATCAATCATTTGCCTTAGTGTTACCTCCTGGTAATAAATGCCCCAGATGCTTTGAAGAAGCATGCAGAAAAAGAGACTGCTGTAATAAGCTTTTACTGAGTGTGGTGTGTCCTCCCAAGCATGTCAAGCTCTGTTGGGCAAGCTGGTGTGAAGGAATGAGGAAAGCTGTGACCACATACTTATCCCCTCCCTAGCCTCTTTGCTCAAGGAGAAAACAAGTGCCAAGTCTGTGCTTAGCTCTATCACAAGCACCCAAATGGTAGTGAAAAGGCTTCTTTAATTTTTTCTTTTGTTTTCTTATATAGCAGTAGCTTCAGTCTAGTCTTACATTGTGAGGTTCTGAGGGCAGGACCTGTCTATTTTTATATTATGGCTGAAGAACCATGAAAATCCATCATTCTATTTATTTTTTTTAAATTACCAAGATCAAACAAACCTGAAAGTACAATAATTACTAATACTCCAAATATCAGGCTCAATACAGTAGGTCTGACAATGAAGTTTGAAAGTTCATTGAAAGAAACAAAAGTATTAGGACAATAATTTAAATAAACAGTCACACATTTTCCAAACATTTATATTATCATACTTTAGATCCCGTTCATACAGTAAATTGGTCAAATTCCCACTCAATACATGTAACATAAATATTTACATATTTATATTTTGATGGGAATTTTGAATGTCTGTTTTCATTTTGTGAATACTGTATATATCACATCTAGAACGCATATCTTCTTTTAGGTTTGAAAACCATATGTTTTTGTAGAAAAAAATTAACTCGCAATCTAAACTGAAAAAATAAATATATAGTGTACACTTGGGAAGCAGTTTTGTCATGATATAATGCCTCAGATATGTACAACGGTAATGACTGGCATCAATTATTTGGTTCTGACTGGAATAATTTATAAGGTACAGTATATTTTTTTCAACTGCAATCAGCACTATATTAAAAGAAAGAAGCATAATATCCCTCAACATAATATAGACTAGTATTGTAAGACTAAGTACTAGTATTTATCTTACTGGATTAGCTTATTTAATAAACAATAGAAGTTTTCAAGAGGATTATAGCATTATTAGATGTGTATGGGTGCTTCTCCCCTCCCCCTGAATTATCTATATTGCCTAGATTTCTTTATGATGTAAGTTATGCCTCTGTAGATGGTGACATACATTTTCTCAACCTGATACCACATGTCCTTTAATGTCTTTTTCAGGATTTTCACTCATGTCAGATAGGATTCTTCTTAAACTAGTGCACTCTCCTTCTTTAAAGGGACCCAAACCCTCATTTATCACTTCTTTCTTGGATATTTTTTTTTTATCTCAGCCAATATTGTGTTTAAATTTCTGGTAAGACCAAAACCTGTTCGTAGTTTCTGAGAAGGAAAAAAAAATCTATATAATGAAAAGAACTTGGCAAGGAAAAAAAACTTGTAAACAGAACAAAAAAGACCCCACTTGTATTACTATTTTTTTCTCTAGAATTTCTACTAGTGCATTTTTATTTTCCTTAGTTAGAATACATTTAGGGTGTGTCTATTCTACAGGGTTTTTTCAAAAAACTTGGCCTTTTTTTGAAAAAACTTCCCCTGCATATAGACTACTGCCACGTTCTTTTGAAAGTAAATCGAAAGAACTCAGCACTTTTTTCAATCGTGGAAAACCTCATTTTACGAGGAAGAATGCCTTTTTTTGAAAGTGCTCTTTCAAAAAAAGGTGTGATATAATGCAAACTGTGCTTTTTTGAAAGAGAGCATCCAGACTGCCTGGGTGCTCTCTTTCGAAAAAGCAGCTTGCTTTTTCAAAAGTACTGGTTGTAGTCTAGACTCTCTTTTTCGAAAGAGGCTTTTTCAAAAGAAGCTTGCAGTCTAGATGTAACCTTAGAGTATTTTGAAACAAATCGGTTATAGTAGACTTGAAATTATGATTATTCTGATCCATTGCAAACAAGCATACACACTTCAGGATGAAGTTTAGTCAATATATGAGATTAGGAGAATGGAATCCCATCGAGAAGGAGACACACAACAAAAGAAGCATGATTCATTAATAACACAAAACAAGGAAACCCATCAAAGCCATGAACCTATATCAATCCAACTTTTAAAATTGGATATTACTTTATGTTATGGGGAGACACTAAGGGTAATACAGCAGTATTATTCTGGAATAACTACATTCCAAAACATTTGGCGTGTCTACATTACAAGAAGTTATTTCAACGTAGGAAATAACATAAGAGTTGGAGGACTTCTTATTCCAACTCCTGTAAGCCTCATTTTATGAGGAGTAATGGAAATTGGAGGGAGAGTGCTCTTCCTCAGACTTCCTGCTGTGTAGACAGTGCCAAAAGTTGAAATAAACTATTTTGACTTAAGCTACTTAGTTGACATAGCTAAAGTTGTATAGCTCATTTCAGTTTTAGCTCTGCTGTGTAGATATGCCCTTATTCAAGGATCAGCAGAAATCAAGTTACTTCCAGATACCACAAGCCCCAGAGGGCTGTGAAAGTAGGATAGTGACTACAGAATAGGTTGATCTTTGTACAGCACTCTCCTATTCTGCTCCATCAATGTACAGAACTCGTTGAGAGGGATTTTAGCTTCTCCAGTATTGATAGACTGTTAATAGGAGAGATGTCAGCCTCCTCTCAATTACTATACTTTGTGGGCATGAGATGATCAAAATTGCTTCTCTTGCTTTCTCTCTGGTTAACATTTGCATTTCACAGTCTCCTGAATTTTCTTCCCTGACTGAATGACATCCAATCAAAAGAAAGCTCTGTCCTATGCAAGCTGGGAAGATCATCAGTAAAGCCTCTAACTATACCATTTTCTCAACTGCTATACCTATATATTCCCAGTTTAAAGAATTAATCATATCAAAAGAATGAAGAATTACAACAAAAAATTTGGGCTGGATAGCAATTCAGGTTTTAAGTATTTTGTCAAACTTTAAAGAATATACAACATGAAACAACTTCTGGAATCAAATTAATCCACAAACAACATATACTTTATGGCTATGTGTAGACGGGCATGATTTTCCACAAATGCTTTTAACGGAAAAGTTTTCCATTAAAAGCATTTGCGGAAAAGAGCTTCTAGATTGGCACAGATGCTTTTCCGCAAAAGCACTTTTTGCGGAAAAGCGTCTGTCCCAATCTAGACGTGCTTTTCCGTAAAAAAGCCCCGATTGCCATTTTCACTATCGGGGCTTTTTTGCGCAAAACAAATCTGATTTGTCTACGCTGGCCCTTTTGCACAAAAGCTTTGCACAAAAGGACTTTTGCCCGAATGGGAGCAGCATAGTATTTCTGCAAGAAGCACTGATTTCAGACAGTAGGAAGTCAGTGTTCTTGCGGAAATTCAAGCGGCCAGTGTAGACAGCTGGCAAGTTTTTCCGCAAAAGCAAGTGCTTTTGCGAAAAAACTTGCCAGTCTAGATGCAGCCTATATGTTTGCATAATATCTTGAAAGAGGAAGAGAGAGAGAATAAAAAGAGAGACTGAGTTCAACTATACATCCAATATATGATATTTCTCAATGGCATACTAAAATTAAGTTGATTTAAAACTCTATGTCTTCCTTTTCTGAATGCAAGTCACATTTTAAATGAATGAATGACTAAACCAAAAAAATCAGCAGCTCACAAAACATTCCACAAAAAACTTCTTGTTCAAAGCATGAACATTTTATTGTCCCTAGTAGTTTTCTTTATTGCCTATTTCACACAAAAACAAGTATCAGACTGCTATGTGCAGTCTATAGTTTACTTCCATTCAGCAAGTACTTTTTCCTGAATCTATTAAGATAATTCAATATTTTTATTAAGAAAAAAGGAATGACAACTTGTTCTTTATTTTAAACACAACTAACACTGAGATAAAGCCTATGTAATATATACTATATAATCATTTTTGGGGGTCCACAAAGCTATCAATAATATAGTCAATACAGAATTCATATTCCTCTGTTTCTTTTCTAGCAGATATGCCAAAAAAACACAATCATTTTAATATAGTATTTCTTAAAAGGTCCTTACCTTGTGAAAGACTTTCCCACCTTTGGCAGACCCTTAAAATGGAATATTTACCTGTTAAAATAGATCATATAATCTATTGTTAGTGATATTTCAACATTTTAACTATAAAAAAATCTCCATTTACTTAGCAACTGTATAGAGAACTTCAAAGTAAATACTGGAATTAATTTATATTCATTAACTTCAATTATTATCCATTGCTTAATGCTAATAACTAAGAGTATGTCTACATTGTGCGGCTATTTTGGGATAGCAGAAGTATCCAAAAATAACAAACCCATGTTTTAAGAAGTCACCTGCTATTTCAAATATTTTTCAAAATAACAGGAGTGCAATTTGGGCATCCCGGTAACCCTCATTCCACAAGGGACTTCTTCATCCGATTCATGGTAACCCTCATTTCACCAGGATAAGGGCAGTCAAAGGAAAAGTGTTCTTCCTTCGACTTCCTGCAATGTAGACTATCCCAAAAGCCAAATTAACCTACTTTGACTTAAGCTACACAATCGACATAGCGTAGCTTAATTTGACTTTAGCCTGCTGTTTAGACGTACCCTTAGTGTCCAGGAGATTTTTTGTTGAAGCATGTGGGCACCTATCTACACCCCTAGGTATCTAAATACCTTTTAAATCCAGATCCTAGTCATTTGTGTGAACCTTCTTTTCTTTTGTGAAAATACATAGAATACCACCCAGTGAAGTCTTGTGACAAATATCATTATCTCCTCAGGTGGTAAGAAGCATGTGGGCAGTGAAAATTCAAAGTTCTTCTGACAACTACAGTACAACATTTTTCCATTATCTTCTGAGACAAATTTTTAACCGTGCCATGATCAAGGATTTGGTTTTGCACCTCAAAATGAATTCTAGGTGCATTATTATATACCCAATAGACAATGATTAGGCATTTTAGCTACTTGATGTACATATATCAAGCATCTGAAGTATAGAAAGTACTGTTACCCATGTGACAGAGCAGAAAGGTAAAGTTTGGGGCTTTACACAGTAGTTTTGTTTGAAGGAGAGATATCTGATGTAGAACCCGGGTAATTCTTGATGTGTGTACACATAACAGAAATACACACAAAGTCTTGTTTCCTTCAGCAGCCATAGGGCTGTACAGCACACATTCTACTTGCTCAGAAATTCACTACTGACCTCCTCCAGCCAGCATTGGGTACAAGAAAAGCCTGTCTTCTCTGCCTCTATTCAGGGTAACACACAACTGCTGACTCATTTACTCCAGTTCACATAATCTGGAATAGATGCCTAACCTGTGGGGTTTGGAATCCCTTGGGGAAGCCCTTTCTCAACAGAGAAGTCAAATCACAAAATCATAGAATATTAGAACTGGAAGGGACCTCAAGAGGTCATCGAATCCAGTCCCCTGCCAGAGGTCTATCTAACCTGCTCTTAAATATCTCCAGAGATGGAGATCCCACAACCTCCTTTGGCAATTTATTCCAGTGTTTAACCAGCCTAACAGTGAGGAAGTTTTTCCTATTGTAAAGCCTAAACCTCCTTTGCTGCATTTTAAGCCCATTGCTTCTTATCCTATCCTCAGAGGCCAAGGAGAACAATTTTTCTCCCTTTTCTTGTGACACCCTTTTGAAAACCACTATCATGTGCCCCCTCAGTCTTCTTCTTTCCAAACTAAACAAGCCCAATTTTTTCAGTCTTCCTTCAAATGTTCCTTAATATGTTCTAACACCACATCTTTAATCCTATTAGTAACATTTTGTTGACTCAACAGTAGGTGGTTTTTGGGTCAAGGAACATATTAGGGAAGGAAGGGAAGGGAAGGGAATTAGGGAATTCTGCCTTTGTTCTACTCTAGTGATAAATAGCAGACATAAATATATCTTAAATGGTGCTCATGCTCTGTTTGCTTTGGACTTCTCCACGGTTGCCAGAAGTTACCAGTGAATCTCGTCCTAAAAGTTAAGTTTTATAAAGCGATTTAAGATTTATTCTTAACATATTCAAATTATTAGAAATTTCACATAGTTACATTGTCTTTGAGTTTTGGATTTACTTTTCATGTATAAATGTAAATATTTTAATGGAAGAAATTGTCCGACAAATGCTATGCTATGTGAGGTTAAGATTGAGGGTACATGTCAAGACTTCAGTTTGAAAGCTTTAGAGGGACATTGTCATAGATCCAAAAACCAAGTTTTATAAACCCAGCAAAAATCTTCAATGACACCATGAAGGGAAACAAATTGAACAATTCTATGTCTTTAAAAGCATTGTATCTAATTTGGGACCATAAATATTAATATTGATGAATAATAAGTTTATGTTTATTGCATGATGCCACTTCCAGGGATGAGTCTATTTGGATGCATTAACCATCCCATAGATGAATTTGACCCTTAATTGTTATTCCAGAAAATAATTTTAGTCCAAATAGCATAAAACAAAAGGATTTTTTAATCATTTCCAAGATAATGATGGAGGAAGAACCAAACACACATGCTACTGTATTTTCAGTTTGAGATTTATTTTTAAATTCTTCATTAGAAAAGTGAGAAAATTAGCAAGCACTTCTCTCACTTATATCAGTCACAGGATTGACATTTCTCACTATCAATGTAATTATTGCAAAAATTTAATGATAAAAATAAAATGATTTTGAAGAATATTGCTTCTGGCCTTCCTCTCACTCTTGAGTAATTAGTGGTTCCTTTATTGTTCAGAATTGCATTTATTTTAACAAGTAGGCTTATGCAAATCGCATGGGTCCAGGATTCAGAAAATTCAGTGAACGTTTTCAGAAATACTATTCCCTAATGAATAATGCTTGAAGCATGGTCAGTTTTTATTCTATCAGTGGCTATAGCTGTTGGATTCTTTCCATTCTGATACTTTGTTAATATGAATTTGACAATATGGTGATTCAGAGATGGCAAAAATATGACAGGCATAGCAAATCTGTCTTCCATATTGTCAGGACAGGAAAAGGGAATTTTAAGCTTCAAATAATATCTATAAAGACATATACATAAATAGAGGCTTGCTACATTGTGCAGCAGTCAAATCTATAGACCTATCGAGAAGAAAACATAACCAAGAAATATATTCCACAATTTTTAAAAACTTGATAATGTTGGATATGTTTAAAAAACAGACCCGAAGCTCCTAATGCAGAAAGGATCACTACAGATATAGTAATATGGGAAGACACACCATCTTCCTTATTTCATCATGCATCCAGTAACTGTCTTCTAGTGGCATATCTTTAAAGTCTCTAGCTCTCTTTAAATACCTCTCAATCCTTGCCAGAAGCTGAACAGTGAGCTTGACCTTCTTGCCCTATTTTGTTACTGTTGGATCATCCAAGTGTTACTGACAGGATTAAAGATGTTGTATTAGAACATATTAGGAAAGGAGCATAGGCTGCAACTAAATGGAGGTTGTTGAATCTCCATCACTGGGGATATTTAAGATCAGGTTAGACAGACACCTGCAGGGATGATCTAGATGATGCTTGGTCTTTCCAGGAGGTCAGGGGACTGGACTTGATGACCTCTCAAAGTCCCTTCAAGTTCTAGTGTTTTATCATTCTGTGTTTCTAGATCTGCTTGTTCTAGATCAAGACTTACCCTGACTTGCCTACACAATAATTCTAAAACATGTTGGTTACCACATGATGGACAAAAAATAACTTAGGGTATGTCTACACTTGCTCATTAGTTTAAGCTAGGTAGGCAAAGGAGGGCAACCAGAGTTTCAAATGAAGCCCGGGATTTAAATATCCCGAACTTCATTTGCATGTTCCCGAGCGCCGCCATTTTTAAATCCCCCTTAGTCTGAATTTCATGCCATGGAGTAGGTAGTTCAAATTAGAGATCCTAATTTGAACTACCGTTACTCCTCTTTCCATTCCGGCACTTCGAACTACCTACTCCGTGCCGCGTGTAGCCGTGGGAATGGAGTTTTAAAAATGGCAGTGCCCGGGAACATGCAAATGAAGCCCAGGATATTTAAATCCTGGGGTTCATTTGCAACTCCGGTTGCCCTTATTTACCTACCTAGCTTGAACTAACGAGCTAGTGTAGACATACCCTTATTTACTTTCTAGTCAAGATAAATCCACCGAGAAACAAAGTCACAAAGAAGTTCCTCTCTCTCCTCACCACTGTTTGAGGAGCAATGTTTCAAGGGTGGCTTTTGAAAGGCACTAGTGTTGCTTCTCCTATGCAACACAGCTTTGCAGCACCTTGTTCCAAAAACCTCCTAGGAAATAAACAGCAAGAAAAGTAAAACCAATGGTCAAAATGAACAAGCTATGGCATCTTAATTCACTTTTTTGGAGGTTACTAGATTTTTCTGGTTGTAAAGCTAATCTTCAAATTGTGAACCCAAGTAAAGTGATGCAATGATATCTAAAGACAACATGAAATAATTTAGTGGTATGACATACCAATATTTATCAATAGGCTTCAAATTAATAGGCTTCAAATGTAAATATCAACATAGCTATTTCACTGCTGATCATTAATCTTTTCAAGCAATTTAATCAATTGATGTCACTGTACTCAAATCACAAGAATATCAAATTAGTGGATAACAGCATGAACTTGGCAATGAAGAGGCACCATCATAAGACATAGATCAACATGAGCTACTGTGTGACCATTGGGAGGGCAGAATCAGAGAAATTGCCTACCATTGCTTTTCCCCCCTAATCTGACACACAAGTAAAGTAAAAAGAGCGTAATATGTTATGATCCATGGCAGGTGAAAGTTAAATAAATCTGTTATAGACATCATTGTTAGTGCCTAGATACTAAGATTATGAGATCTTCATAAATACGATAGACATATTGGAAACATGTAATGAACTGAAGATTATCTGGCTATACTGAAAGAAGGAGGGGAGATATTTGACATCAGTTTAATCAGGCCACAACTTTATAATTAAATGTTTGGGAATACCAGGCGGATAACAGTATATGTCATTTTTATTCCATAATTACCCAGAGGGACTTTTATGAGTCCCCCTTTTTTCCATCCAGTCACCCTCCCACGCAAAACTATTGCCA